TTCAAATTCATGAACATTTTTTGTATTCACATACTTTTTTTGAATTATTGAAAATGTTTTATTTCCTGAGATGTGTTTCGTATTCGGGAATATTTTTCAGATTTATGAAGAAGTTTCGATTCCTTGAACATTTTGTTGAATCCGGCGACATTATTTGATTTCATGGACATTTTTTCCAATTCATGGACATTTTTTGGATGTCGCAGAAAAGTTTAAAATTTATGAAAACTGATTCGAACCCATTTGTTTTTGAACATTACAACTCATTATAACATTCATGTTTTTTATTTTGTGACCCCCTTTTTCAAATTCATGAGCAATTTTTAAATTTACTGACAAATTTCTACTTTGTGAACATTTTTCAAACTGTGTGTAGTGAAAAAGAAAGGCGATAAAGAGCAGAAATCGTAGTAGGCTCATTGCGCGGTGTTTATTTCTCGCCTTTAGCGAGAGAAGTTGCTCCTCTCATGCTGAAGGTTCGCCTAACAACTAGACAGGCCCATTAGCATATGTAGTTAAAAGAAGAGAATAATTTTGACTTTACTTTTTTTATTCTGAAATCGCCTTCAGCAACTAGTACTCCTGTGAAATAATAGGCTAGATGCATTGACTTTCTATTCAAAATATATTCATTGATTCAATTAAAATAAATAAGATAAAACTCGCTATACCTGGCTCTGGATATTCATGCACTTATGCTCGTAGCCTATATTATATCCGCATCCATAACCGTTTTTCATCTATGTGTAGATAAAGCCACATACCCTACCATATTATATTACTTACACTAAAAAAGAGTAGACAATCTTATCGTTTTGCACATAAAGAGATAAAGAAGTCATTGCGATTGCCAGAAGTACTAAGCCTACTAAAGGCATGAAAATAGAAGCTAAGTTTAAATCTGTCATGGAATAGGTGTCTCGATTGAAATTTACTATTTCTATCTAGTCAAAAAATATCTTAAGATTCTTATGATATAATTAAGTATATCTATTATAAGGAATAGAAAAAAGTCTATTTTACTACCCTGAAAAAAGTTGGTGGTTCACATAACCCCCTGATCTTTTTTCGGTTCCCTTACCTCCCTAAACAATCCCAAACCAGGCAAAAACCGTCCCTGGCTGGTTTTGCACATACCGGATGCTGACGTGGACACAGTCAAAGGCGGTATTTGGCCTGCGGGTGGGTCCCTCTCAGCTAGACACTCTCACTGACTGTTGGGCCTGGTCAAATATGACACATGGGTCCAACATCTCGGCTGCACGGAGATTAACAAGGGACTAATTTAGCCCTAATTGCATCATTAACAGAAGGGGGCCCACATGTCAATGTCTCAGACTAAACCTAGTGATGAAGGGGACCCACATGTCAATGTCTCGGATTAACAGAAGGGGACCTAAACTAATGATGCCACATCGGCGCGGTCCTGCTCCGAGGTCGCCGGCGTGGAGGGCTTCAGCGGCGACGCATCGGCGCGGTCGTGCTCAGGCGCAGCCGTGCGTAGAGGAGGCCGATGCAACGGTCAAGGCGGTTGCGGAGGTCATGGCCTCTCATTGACCAGAGGCGGTTGGTCAGGGGTGTGGATGCGGTAGCAAGGGCTGGCCATGGACGTGGAGCCGGCGGTGCTACAGCGATGCAGGCGGCGCGGGGAGGCGAGGGACGACCAGATCCGAGGGTGGCGCCCCCATCTGATCTGGTTCCGGCCGGATCCGGACTCCGGCGACGGTGTGAAGATGGTACGGCGACGAGCTTGTGGCGGCGGAGTGACCTGTACCTGAGAGAGAGATACGAGGGAAGAGAGAGGGAGAGGAAAGAGAAGGGAGGAAGGAGAAGCGGGGCGCTCGGGGTGGCGCCTTGGAACTCCGGTAGTCACCGGCGTCGGTCGGAGGCAGGGCAGGGTTCGAGTGCGAGGGGGCGATGCTCGGTGAGGTAGGCGACGACAAAACGTGGTCCACCTAACGGAGGCCCACCCACAGGTCAAAACCACCATTTGACTGTTGCCACGTCAGCGCCAAGATGAGTCAAAACCATCCAGGGATTGATTTTGCCCGGTATAGGATTGTTTAGGAGGTGAAAGGAACAGAAATAAAGATCAGGGGGTTATGTGAACCACCAACTTTTTTCAGGGTAGTAAAATGAACTATTTTCTAAGGAATATTGACTATTGTATTTTTAGTTTGAAAAATATTTTGTAAATAAATGAAAGGATAATAAGAAAATTCCAAAAAAGAAGCAAAAAGGGAGTTTCGAGGATTTGAACCCTATTCTCCTGGCAGGTAGCCAATGTAGGAAGATATTGAGGTACAATTAGCTTTCTGTTAAAACAGAAGGCGTGACCTTTTTTAGGGCGACGATACGGTTTTCCACCGTTTTTCTGTTTTCATCACGGGTTTTTTTTTGGTTTTTGTTTTTCTTTTTTGACATGGCTTTCCTCGTTTTTTGGTTTGCTTTTCTTTTTTCTTCTTCATTTTTGTTTGGTTCTCTTTTTCCTTCTCCATTATTTTGGGGTTTTTTTGTCTCTATTTCTTTGTTTTTTCTTATGTTTGTTTTCGTTTTCCCTCTACTTTTTTGTATATGTCCAAAACATTTTCTAATAAGTGATAAACATTCTGTGTATACACGTTCAACACTGTCCGAACACTTATTCAATATTTTTTCAAAATTCATGTTCAAAAAAATCAAATACTTGTCCAACATTTTTCAAATACTTGTTCAATATTTTTCAAATACATGTTCAGTATTTTTCAAATAATGGTACAACATTTTAAATACTTATTCAACATTTTCAAATATTTGTTCACAATTTTTCATATACTCTCTCAAAATTGTTTAATAATTATTCAATATTTTTCAAATATTTGTTTAACATTTTTAATACTTATTCAAGATTTTTCAAATACTATTTCAACATTTTTTAATACTTATTGAACACTTTTCATATAATTGTTCAACATTTTCAAATACTGGCTCAAAATTATTTAATAATTATTCAATATTTTTCAAATACTTGTTTAACATTTTTAGTACGTATTCAACATTTTTAAATAATGTTTCAACATTATCAATAGTCAACATTTTCAAATACTTGTTCATCATTTTTCATGTACTCGTTGAAAATTATTTAATAATTATTCAACATTTTCAAAATCTTTTTTAAGATTTCTAATATTTATTCAACATTTTTTAAATATTTTTTATGTGTTTTTAAAGTGCAGTTTTGTACATATATATTTAAAGTATTTTAATGTATAAACAAAATACAAAATAAAACAAAAACAGAAACAGAAATTGTAAAAACACAGAAAAACAGGCTTCAGCCTCACTTGCGCGTGGGTATATTGCTCGCCCCCTTAAGCGAGTCACGAGTTACACTCGCTGTAGGCGGGGAATAGGGGTGCTCGCCTCATGGAGCTATCGATCCAGAGATTCAGCTGGAGGCGAAGGACGTGCTTTAGCAAAACAGTCCAATGTGCGCCAGTGTGATCGCTATAACCAAGAGCACCATTACAGAGCTGGCACGTTTAGTAGCCGGGCCGGGCCGGCCCACGTGTGCCACTCCTCGGCCTAGGCACGGTCTGGTTATTAAACAGGCCGACCCGTGGCACGTTTAGCACACTAGGCCACATATGTTTCAGCCTATTGGACTGTATTTTAAGCTTATTGTGCTGTAATTTAGGTCATATTATGTATATGTAAATTTCTGAAAAAAATAAAAATACTAAACGGGCCATGCCGTGCCGGCCCGCGTGTCAGGCCCAGTCTCTAGGCCCAGGCATGACCCAAGTTGTGCTGCGTGCCAGGCACGACGAGCAGGCCGTGCCGGCGTGATCGTGCGCTGGCCTGATTGGCCCGGCCCGTTTGGCCAGCTATAGACCATTATACTAGCCGAGCAGAGGAGGGAGAGGTGCCAAAACGAACATGCCACAAAGTTCGTCCGATTTCCCACACCGGGAATCGCATGGCGAGGGCGAGCACCTCCACGCCGATCTCGAGTTTCCTGTGGTAGTGGCCGATGGAAGTAGTAACAAGGAACAGCCGGGCACCCATTTTACCAAGTTGCGGAGAATCGTCGCGCTACAGCCACCCACAGGCGACGACCCGGGCATTGCCTCGTCGCTCTCGGCTTTCCGGCGGCCGGCCCGAAATCCCTTCCGTCAGGCACACAATCCGGCCGGTCTCCGGTGTGCGCTGCGCACCACCATGTCCATGTGGAAGTTAGGCAATCGGCAACTTACACATGACAAACAAAAGTCGCAGGTCAGAAGATGAATCCCAACCTTCAGAATGTGAGTGGCAGATATTCTTTCTTTCTTGAGCATTACACGAAGTGCGCGCAGCCGCGTTGCTCTGGTGCATTATACATGAACTCAACATGACAGTTCGTTCTTCAAAACAGACCCTGGCAAAGCTCAAACACACACGCGGACAGACGAATGGCCTCTACGACGTACAATCAACCGAACCAAATTTACACAGACGCACAGGAGACAATAGCCCTAAGGGCAACCACGAAAAAACAGGTAGTAGTAAAACGCAAACGAAACAAAGACCAGTCTGCTTCAACGGCAGCAGTAGTAACCAAGGCAGGCAGGCAGGCACGTCTCACTTGTACACGGCGGCGGACCGGACTGGACGAAGGCTCAGCTTGACGACGGCCACTCCCGGCGTATGTCGAAGGTGTAGTTGATCTGCAGGTAGCACTTCCGGTCGTCGTCCAGGAACTGCCAAAGATAGAGAGAAACGTCGAACCGTCAGACCTCTGAATCCTGCAGTGCATCTCTGAACAATTAAACTCGATCATCGTTTGATTACCGACCTTGGTCTTGGCAGAGTAGGATCCCCGGGCAAACATCCCGGACGGCGTGGTCTCCTCCGGCGTCACGTACGCGTACGGCTCCGGCTGCGGGCTGAACGTGCCCAGCATCTCCTTTGTGCTGTCAACTGCACCAGCAAAACCATCACGATTCGTTAACTGCAAGCAGAGAATTGGTGAATCGGTTTCATTCGTTTTTACTACTAGTACCTTTGATGCCGGTCTTCCAGACGGTGTTGGTGTAGCGGAGGCCGGAGACGATGTTGTTGCTGACGGAGAAGGTGAACTTGAGCTTGTACGGGGAGCCCTCCTTGAGGGTGAACCACACCCCCTTGCCGCTGGTGGGCTCCACCGGCAGCGGCAGGAAGATGTCCGGCCGCCCCGGGGACTGGATGGACAGGCTCATGATCTTCACGTCCGGCTCCAGCGTCTCTGCACCAGTCAATCAATCAATCACCGTGCATTCAAATCTCACATCGAAATCTCCCATCAAATAACGGATCGTTTTGAATTCTAAATTCTGATGTTAGAAATGCCTTCCTAAAAACATGAACAACGTGCTTAACGGTTTATGCTGTTATGTCAGACAAACAAGGCTGCCTCCCATCAATTATGCCCTGCAAAGACGTGTTGGGCATAATCGGACCAAAAGTCACAAAGACTTGGCTATCACCACGACAAATCATGCATTATTCCCGGGATGCATCACTTTCAGGGCAGCAAGAAGGCACTACGATCAGTACTACTACCCTGTATCTGAAGTCTGAAAACTCTGAACGCATATCGTCAATGGCGAAGGCACAATAGTTCAACCATGCACGGCAACGTACGGGGACCGACCAGACCAGTGCATTCGAGAAAACGGGGGGCTCCATGTGTCTGTTTTTTCCCTACGAAATGATTAGCACGGAAGGACAAGGCCGGACGACCTAGCCAACGGAGCCCACCACCTTTTAAAATTTTCCCCGCTCCAGTTCTACTGTTGAGTAGTACCACTACGGCCGGCCGGCCGGCCGGTGCACAGACGGAGTCGTGAAAACGCTCTATAATTAAGCACGGAAAGCAACGGATGGGTTCACGGGGCAGTGCGTGTTGACGACGGAACACGGCGGTGCTCACATGCCAAACTGCGCAAGTGCCGGTGTCCTACGTACACGTACTGGTACTGGTGGTGTTGCCCGCCATTACGCAGGGTTCACGAGGACGGGGCAAATTGAACGCGAGCAATTATCGATCTGCCCGGACGAGAAGTTCTTGCATGGTTGCAGAGGTTTACCTCCCACGGAGTTCAAATCCACGCTGCCGAGCAGCTGCTCCTTCCACCTCCTCAGGCTCTCGTCGTCCTGCACAATGTCATGGAGAAAGGAGACGCATCAATCGATCCATCCATCGGTCGACGGCAGGCAGCTAGAAGAATTCAGGCACGAGAATGCGGCGCATGCTGACATGTTACCTTGTCCTTCTCGAGCTGGTCCTTGATGCTGAGGATAGGGCCGAGGTCGATGTGCTCGGGGACCTTCTCGCCGTCCTCGTCCTCCTCCTCCTCCACGCCCTTGCCGCAATGCGGCGGCGCCGCGACGTCGCCGCCGCACTTCTTCCCGTTCGTCGCCGCGGCGTCCCCGGCCCCGCCGTTGCCGTTGCCGTGCTCCGCCACCGCCGCCGCGCACTCCTTGGCCTCCGCAGGCCCGGCCGCGGCGATGTCGGCGACCTTGGAGCAGGAGATGGCTTCCACCGCGGACGACATCCTCCTCAGCTCACCTCACCGGCTGCGCAACAATGGCTGCCCCTTCAACGGCTAGCCAAGAAGGTGGAGACAAAAAGAGGAGAGCGTGGCAAAAGGGGCGGTGGCACGGGCACCGAGAGCTCGCTCGCTGGGGGGCACCAAAAGGAGAGAACGCGCCGGTAGAGGAGGGACGTCGAAGCGGATTGGGACAGGGAGAAAGGGGCGCGGCGCAAGGCTCCAAAAGGAGAGCGCACGGATCAGAGAGGGAAGGGGCGAGGGACGGGACGGTTGGATCCAGGCAGCTAGGGGTGCAATGGCAGCAGCGCGCCAGAGAGGATAAGGAGGTTTTAATTCCTCTGCGGGCGAGGGTGGTGGTGGAGGGAGGGAGGAGACCAGGGGAGTGGTGGAGGCGACGTGATGGTCACGACGGAAGAAGCCCTCCCGCTCGCGGCACGGCACGGCGCGCGCTGGTACAACTGTACCACCAGCGTTAGTTGGGGCGTTTTATTGTCGATCATGTGTGAGAACTGAGAACCCCTGCTCGTAGATAGAGCCGAGTTCCTGCTAAAAAAAAGATGTAGTCGAGTTAGTGCAGATTAATGGGCCTTTTTCTTTTCCGTATCTCACGGATCATTGCTGTGTTTCTCAAAAAGAAAAAGAAAAGCATTGCTGTGAATGCAACCGAAAAACGGTGCCGCGCATAATTTGTAAGCTGGCAAACCAAGCAAACTTGCTCAATTCGATGTGGGCTTTTGATTTATTTAATACTACAAGGAAGAATGCCTTTCTGTCTAAAGATCTACGGTCTCTTCATTTCTTACGCAATTAATTTTCCCTTTAGCAATCCTGACATTAGAAGTGCAGCGCCTCATGATTAAATCGCGAATTACAAATAGCTGAAAAGGCTTTACCTCTTATCTCTAGAGGTAATTCACGTTTCTCCATCTTTTCCACCCAGGAAGATGACGGCTCTGTAAAATTGAGTTATTTCTTGTGTGTATGAGCATGCGCTCCTCTGCTACGTGGTCCCACCACTTTTATGCTGCCGCTGGATCTTTTACGGACGCCGCGGGGTAAGTGAAGATCTGATCTGGGACTGGGGTGGAGAAGTTACCTATCCCAGTGTCCTCCAGCCTGCAGGTTTTTGTCCCAGGTGTTGTCGGACTTGCCCGGTAAAATTCGGTCCGTCCATCACGCTCCAATCATAGATCCGCACAACGCCCTCCCACCCGCAGCGAGTGACGCCCCAATCAATCGGGTCGGGGCCCCCCGCCTCACAGGCGCAGACAGACCAATTCATCTCGGCGGCACGACTTAACGACTCAGCACCGCACACAATTGCTCGCTCTGCAGCGGCAAGTGGCCATTACAGTTTGTCTGCCGACCAGGCAAACGTCGCGGCAAATGCGCCCGCGCATCCATCCTGCTGGGTTTCGCCCGTCTAATCAAGATCACCGCTGCCTGGAGATTCATGAAATGCCAATGATGTGCAGGTGCAGTGCAGATTGCAGTCGCATCATTTCTGTAATATTATCGACGTGATTGTATAAGGAGCTGCAAGAAGGTCTAGCTGAAAACTTGCACTGAAATGTGGTCTGGTCACAAACTATGTACAATCAAGAATGCTGGGCTTCTGTTGCTGACTATATAGTGTGTCGTGATGGCAATTCTGCACAAAATTGTTGGACCTCCGTCGCTCGGTTTCGTCGGAAGCACTCCGGTGGGCGCTGTACGGTGTATGTGCAGCAGAAGATCTACTGCTCTACGATATGAACTGAAGTTTTAACAGACTGGGATATCTACAGGGAAGATTTGTCAGCAACGGCCGATTGGATTTTGCTGATGAAATCGTCGACGGGCATGGTGCCCATCTCCCCGTTATGCCGGGACCTGATGGTGAGCGTCCTGGCCTCGACTTCTTTGGGGCCAACGACCGCCATGAGCGGCACCTTTTGTGTTTCGGCGTTTCTGATTAACTTCGGCAGACGTTCGCCGTGGCATACCTCGGCGCGGATACCTCTCGATTTCAGCTCTGAAGCCACCTCATTACAGTACTGCAACTGAAATTTTGAAACATGTCATGGATTCGTCAGTGATGCTAACAAAAATCAAGCATCTGATATGTGTGTGCCATGCAAATAACAAATAAAAGTATGTTGTTGTCCTGCCTAGGGTCACCTAGATATAAAGTAGTAGTACCTTCTTTACTTCGCACAAATCTACTACAGTACAAGGTAAAAATATTGGTTTAACAAGTGAAACTAATGCAAGGTAGAGGGAGCAAACCTCATTGTTTGTGACAGGCAGAATACGGGCTTGGGTTGGAGCAAGCCAAAGTGGAAAATCACCAGCGTAGTTTTCAATGAGGATGCCAAAAAATCGCTCCAAAGACCCAAGGATGGCTCTATGAATCATGATAGGCCGTTTCTTCTCAGTATGCGAGTCAATATAAGTGATGTCAAACCGTTCAGGCAAATTGAAGTCAACCTAAAATATATGAAAAACGAATGATGTTATATGCCCTTTTCCCTCGAAGAAAATCCACGAATTTGCTTATTCTTTGTAGAAAAAAATATAACTTACCTGCACGGTGGAACATTGCCATTTTCTTCCAAGAGCGTCCTCAATTTTCAAATCAATTTTTGGACCATAGAAAGCACCTCCCCCTTCATCAACCGTGTATCCCCATCCTTTATCATCTAGTGCGTCTTTCAGAGCAATTGTTGCCTTTTCCCATATGTCCTCACTGCCAACAGATTTTTCTGGCCTGGTTGAAAGGTTTACCTCAAAATTCCGGAAGCCAAACTGCCCCAGTATTTCTTCAGTTAAATCAAGAACTCCTCTAATTTCATCTTTTATCTGGTCTTCGAGACAAAATATGTGGGCATCATCCTGCATAATAAACATATTTTAATATATTTTTACAATGAACATTTGACAGATATTTTTATGGTCTAAAACTTGTTGCAGACACCTAGAGCAGCCCATGTTAGTAATGTCAGAGTAGTGGGCATAATTTTAACAAAATCATATAACATACATAACTGTGAGTCGGGGCCTCCACGTTTTCTTAATAGGGCACAAGAAAAGGTCTACCTAGGGAATTACTGAACAATGCCTTTACTTAAGCATCCATGCTAGTTAAGATAACAATGTGGGAAATAGTCCAGAGAAAATGAAGAATAAATGCAGAACGCTTCTAGAAAAGAACAAATGCCTAAGTACAACAAATCATATGTCATCTCAGAAAACACAAAACCTTGCATAACGTTCAATATTTATCTGGTGGTTGCAGAATACAGGAAAACATCGTCATGCAATTAGACAAAATCAAATTCGGAATCAAGGAAATACCTGTGTGAACCCTCTTACGCGGAACAGCCCGTGCAGAGCACCAGAGAGCTCGTATCTGTAGACAGTTCCAAGCTCTGCCACTCTGATGGGTAAATCCCTGTATGATTGTAGCTTTCTCTTGTATACCAAGATGTGGTAAGGGCAATTCATGGGCCGAAGTTGATATGGCTCATCTTCTACATCCATTTGGTTGTACATATTCTCTTTGTAGAAATCTATATGTCCACTGATCTTCCAGAGATCAGCCTTCGCAACATGTGGAGTGTACAATAGATCATAACCACGTTGCAGGTGAGTTTGTTTCCACGAATCTTCTAAAATGTGTCTGATGATAGCACCTTTTGGATGCCAGAATACTAAACCCCCACCAGCATCTTCCTGTTAAAAGTTGATTGGCTACAGTCACTATTACCAAAAACAGAATACCACATACGCACAGATAGCAAGGTATTTACAGAGGTCGGGTCTGGATGCCAATGCCAAAGTAATAAAATTGATATAGAATTGACAGTGACAGCAAATATCTGTGAATGCAGATGTGTTGTCAAAATAAGACCCACTGCTAGGCCAGACAGAGCGAAGGGATCACTTCATATCACATGGTGTGGTAATATCATTTAATTACTTTGGTTGGATCTGGTGGTCACTTCCTTGCAAGCATGAATGCTAGCATGATGCCATTGAACTTTTAGGGGTCAACAAAATGGTGAAGTCCAATACTGTCGGACACTAGGAAACTTGAGGCTATGCTTCAATTACTAAGGGATTACTCAGATGGTTTCTTAAGTAAATGTTAGAAGTAAGAATGTAAGATCATACCTGTATAGAGAACAGATCAAGGTCCTGACCTAGTCGCCGATGGTCTCTGCGCTTGGCCTCCTCCTTGAAGTGGATGTAAGCCTTCAATTGATCTTCACTCTCCCATGCAGTCCCATATATCCTTTGTAGCATTTGATTATTCTCATCACCTCTCCAGTAAGCACCAGCAACAGACTCGAGCTCAACAGCCTTTCTCTGTATCTTGCCAGTGGACTCAACATGAGGGCCAGCACACAGATCCCACCACTCTTCTCCTGCATGACACAGCAGCAAGTACATAAAATCCACCGATCAGTATTCAGTAATAGCAAATAACAAGCATCGGAGAAGTAAGCTGATACCAAACTATAATATTTACCAATGTGATAAATTGTGATGGGTTCTTCCTTAATTCTCTCCAAAATCTCCAGCTTATATGGCTCGTTAAGCGCTTGGATCCTCTTTTGAGCCTCTTCCCTGGACACCTCCTCCCTCACCAATGGAAGGTTCCGGCGAATGATTCGGTCCTACCAACATACCATGGTAAACAAGTTAAATCCCTCGCTCGACACTCAGAAATCCAATCTGTGATCAAATGTAACCAATGTATGCTCACCATCTCCTTCTTGATCTTCTTGAGGTCCTTATCCGTGAGGGGCTCCATGTCGAAGTCGTAGTAGAAGCCATTGTCTATCCAGGGGCCTATGGTCACTTTGGAGTTGGGGAACAGCTTCTGGACGGCCATCGCCATGACATGGGCACACTGCAACAGCGAGCAACCATGCAACAGAAATTAACCAACACTGCTACAGTTGGGGACAGTAACAAAGCTGACTAACTGAACACAAAATCAGCCAACATCAAGTCAGCAACACGCATCGAACGATAAGAAACTGAATGGCTGAAACAGCTGCAATTATGGCAGTAGAAGCACGGAGGAAGAAGGGAAATGGAGGGCAGGAGCAGTACGGTGTGGCGGATGCGCAGCAGGTTCTCGGAGGACTCGTTGGTGGGGAGCACGACGCGCGCCTCCACCACCTCCTCCTCCGCTGCCGTTTCGCTCGGGGCCGCGCCTCCCGTTGCCTCGGCGGCCTCCGGTGCCGCTGCCGAGGTCGAGGCGGAGCGGACGGCGGTGCGTGAGGGCCCGCGGGAGGAGAGGGGTTCGAGGGGAGCGAACCCGCGCGGGAAGGCGGCGGAAGGGCAGCGGCGCGGCGAGGAGCGGACGGGGAGGTGACGGTGGTGGGAACGGAGCAAGGGGGCGGAGAGAGTCGCCATTCGGGTCGGCCGGGCGGCGCCGAGGTCAGGGTGGGAGCGTGTGGCGGGCGTTGGCCTCTTGGCAGGCTGGTCGTTGGATATCCTCTCATCGTCTAGTAGCTGAAGCCGCGCTCGTCAGATTGTTCACGGTCTTACACCTGCACCAGCGACAAAGTGTTCTCCACCATGGCACCCGCTGCACAATTTTTCATCGTTTCGTAAGTGAAGTCCTTGGTTCGGTCCGCTTAGAGCATCTCCAATAAAATATGTAAATTTAAAGATGTAAAACACGAGATTTATATCTTTAAAAAGTGTTTTTTGCATCTTTGAAAAAACGCCAACTCCAGCAGATGATGCAAAACGGAGATATAAAAGAGCAACTCCAATAAAAAATGCAAACTGCAAATGTAAAAATTAATCGGCGGCGGCAGTGGGGACGGCGGCGGCGCGGCACGATTCGGGGTGGCTGCGTCTGGGCAGTGGTGGGGTGGCGGAGGGGCGGCGGGGGTGGTGAATCGGGACGGCGGCAACGCGAATCAGGGCGGCGAAGCAGCGGCAGTGCAGCAGCGGAGGAGCGGCAATTCGAGGCAGAGAGAGGAGCGTCGGAGGGGCGGCGTGTGTGCGGCTCGAACCTGGGGGCAGCGAGGGGAGCTCAGATCAGCAGCACGGCGGTGATTCGACGGCGGAGAAGCGGTCAATTAGGCCGATTTGGGCAGGCAGCGACGAACCGGAGGCGGTGGCGATGGAGCGGTCAGATCTGGCAATGGGACAGCAACCGCAACGGCGATCGGCTGGGGTAGGGCAAAACCAGGGCGACGACGGATAACCGACGGTAGTCGTGTCAGCGAAGGCCCCAGCAGATGAGCGGCTGCGGCGGAGGAGGCGACGAGGTCGGCCATGGCCCGAACGTCGGGCGGGCGAACAAAAGAAAAATGAAATCTATTGGACAGTTAGCGTGCGGTCTTTGTTTTTACATTTCCTATAGGTGAACGATGTATATTTGCACTGTGAAGTATTTTAATTTATATCTTCGAAAGGCGGAGATATATATTTTTTTACATCTGCATCATCTACTAGAAAAGTTCTTTTAGACCTCAGAGATGCAGAAGTTCGTTATTTTTTCGTCTACATCGTCTATAGAACAATCTCTAACAAGTCGCGTAGATGTATGTCACGAAATGCAAATTTTGGAAACAAGAACAAAAAAAATACACTAGGAAAGGAATGGAGATTTGAGTTTGTTTGATGGTGTCACAAAAAACACTGAAAAACATATGATTTTCTTTCAAGGTTGAAGTGGCTGCTAGATTTTCTACAAATGATTCAATCCTTAATATGTTCAAGTTTGTTTGATTGTGTCACAGAAAAACTGATGTTCCTTGTGAACAAATCCCGTAGGATTCCAATCCTGGGAATCAAACTACCATAGAATTCAAACCTTAGATGGGTCATTTTCAAATCACTTATGGCGTAGAGAAGCAAAAGATGATGGTACACGTCTTGTTTTCGCAAGAGATATTCAAATGTAAAGGGAGAACAGGAAGAGAGAAAACCAACAAAAGCATATTTTTTTTTAAAGTCAAAAATTTCCAGAACTTTAAAACTATTTATACTTACAACACGAAATATATTTAACATGAAAATACTTATTATTGTTAATGATACGATGTAAATGTTGCGCAAATTTGATCAAAGTTTGTGATGTTTGGCTACGCACTACTACATTTCGGAACTGAGGCAGTGTACTAACACGAATCAGAATCTCACAGACAAAGCAAGTAAAACAAGAATCACAGGCAAATCAATAAGAATTATGAACAGGCAAAGCAACAGCATAAACTAAAAATGCAAACAGAAATAGGATGTCAAGACCAACAGCATAAACTTGGACCATAATAATCTCAGTAGGATTGGAGGACAATGTATTTAAGGAAAATTGCCCAGTAACGATTCAGGGCACATACTCGAACTCAAACTCAACCCCTATGATAGTAAATGTTTTGAGAACGCTGCCGCCAACCTACGACAACCTCTGGAGTTCGATGCCTCCACCAAAAACGAATGTTGGGAAAATCCACCCTCTACAGAAATTATTGCCTTCCAACGTTAAAAAGATAAAAGTTCGCCAGATCCTTGAAGGGCAGGACTGGGAACAGACTTCTCTTGTTCGTCATCATTTCTTCCCCTCTAGGCACCGCCTGAGCCGTACTTCTTGCCGAAGAAGAGGATCTGGAGCTGATCGTAGCCGGAGAGCACACCAGCACCAGCAATGGCACGGAGGATGTTGGCACCAGCACCCTTGAAGAGAGACTTGGCACCCTCCTTCGCCAGGATCTGCTGGAAAGCATCCAAGGAGCTCTTGTACTTGACAGCCTCTCCGGAGGTCATCATCATCCTTCTGCGGACGGTGTCAATGGGGTAAGATGCAAGACCGGCACCGTTGGTGATCAACCAACCAAGAGCAAAGCTGGCAAAGAAGTTGTCCTGCAAACAGGTGAATGGTGATCAAGGATGTCAGTGGCTGTCACACAAACAGAGAAATTTGACAATAGAATGGAATGTGGCAAGGTACTAGAACAAACCTGGAGAGTGCCAGTGAGGAGAACGGGCTTCAGAGAATCATACAGTCCAAAGTACAGACCACGGTAGACAATGATTCCAACACAAGAGATGTTGAATCCACGGTAAAGCCCAGCAATACCATCTGACTTGAGAGTCTTGCGGTAGACATCAACCAGGCCATTGAATTGCCTGTCACCTCCACCCTTGGATGCCTTTGCGTCATTGGCCAGCCTTGTCCTAGCATAGTCCAGGGAGTACACGAAGAAGAGCGAGGAAGCACCAGCAGCACCACCAGAAGCAAGGTTGCCACCGAACCACTTCCAGTAACCATCCTTGTCCTTCTTGAAGTTGAACATCCTCTTGAAGTAATCCTTGAATGCAAAGTTCAAAGCCTAGGAAAAAGACATCAATGAATTAGATTAAGTTAGAACAAGAAAACAATAGCAAAAGAATAATTCTGGTGCATAAAACTAGCATCAGCCATATGAAAACGAAATATTTGAACTAGAATTTCTGGATACAATAGAGATATTCAATTTTATCTCCTAAAATGCATCAGCTGTAAAACTGGCATTCAAAAACAAGACAAACAGATGATGAAAATAACAATACAGACAGATTGTAAAATGCCGCATTTCATGTGAAGTTCAAAGACTGAGAAAAGGCATTCAACATACACCATTACCATCATGTGACCATGAAAGCTAATGAAAACAAGCATAACAACAAGAGATGGATACCTGAGTTGGGAAGTAACGGATGACGTTAGCAGTGTTTCCTCTCCACAATGAGCCAAAGCCTTCATCCTTGATGGTGCGGCCAAAGCAGTCACCAATACCCTTGTATGGCTCAGAGAGCCTGCCAGCCTTGATCATCTCATCCTGGTTCTGGATAAGCAGCTTAACACGCTCAATAGGAGCTGCAGCAGTCTTGGAAACTGCAGCGGACACTCCTCCCATGAGGAAGTCAATTGCAAAGTTCTTGACACCTTTCTTCTCAGGTGGTGCATTGGCAAACAATGGAGAAGATGACATCATGGGGACACTGATGCCAAGGTTCTGAGTCATGTAGCAGCTTGTGGTGAAGCGCCTCTCATAGGATGGCACAGAAGGGCAGATGTTGCGAGCACGAACACCCTCAGAGAAGCTGGAGGCAAGGTGGAACTGTCCACCAAACTTCTGCATGACAGACGGGTGGTTAGCACGGTCCGCCATCTCTGACCTGCAACAACAATCAAACCAAAGTACAAGTTAGCAAGCTTGATGTAATTATGAAACAGTGTATAAACTAACATACAGCCAGGAAATAACAAGCAAATCAGGTAAAGCGTACTATCTCATATAGATATATAATAACAAGGATGTAATTAACGAACATTTACACTAAATTGTAACCATAAGAAACATGATAAAGAACCAAAGTGATCTCTACAACTTGGTTAGAGAACCAAAGTGATCTCTACAACTTGGTTAGCCCTAATCTGTATGAATAGCAGTCACAAACACATTTTGGAAATTTACCGATAATCCCTACTAGCAACAAAACTAATGAACATAGTAGTATTGCAAGCTGACGGAAACAGTTGAGCCGCTTGAAAATACTCAAATGGGATATTAAAACATGGTTGGCAAAATCAGCACATAATGCTAAACTGAAATTAAGTTTAATCCAGGTGGATCAGCTGAGTCAAAGTGCATCATTAACAGAAACAACTTCATGAGAACTAAAACCCACGGTACAACATCAAAAGATCTTAACTAATCATGAGGAAAGACACGGCTTTCAATTGGTGCATGTGATGTACAACAGAAATCTACTTGCATCTAAACAAACAAAGGCACAAAAACAGATCAGATCTGTTGACATTAACATCCGAGTAAAAAACTCCATTTGTCTTAACACTATGTGGGGCATCTCGCGTCAGGTCAACAGATC